AGAAACACGATAGAATGTGGTGATTTTCATTGTTAGAAAGAGAAAATAAAGACACATCAAATCGTATATTAAATATTTTTCTACCATGCTGTCTGATATTTTCTTTCATCAAATTCTGCAGTGTCGAAGAAGATGGTTTCGATGAAAGACGAAAAAGCTAAACAATAGTTTTGTTTCACGATAATTGTAAGGAAAATAACTAAGAGTTCTAACAAAAGTTCAAACAACTTTAGTATTATTAATTCTGAACATGTAAACCTTGAAAAATTTTGCAGATCGCCCATAGAGGATTCGAGTACATACTTGACAAGCGAATACTCAGTATGATCACAACACATAGTAGACAAGTTTTCAAAGAATTGGATAGAACGTGTAGATTATACGGTTCAATGAATTTTTATATCCTCTTTCAGACAATGAAAATTACAACTCTTTCGCTAATTTCTAGGGAAAATTGTTCAAAAAAATGGACTTCTGTTCAATACGCATTGCTGTAACCGACGCACAAAAGAAAAACAGCTCTTTTTAAAATGTTATTAGTATGACATTAGCTGAGTCGTAAAAAATATCACAGAGAGATGTAGAATTATGTTTACGATCACTGGATATAAAATGAAAGGTCCGTCAAGCTTACTATAAACTATTAAAGTATTACTACCACTAATTTGGTACTCTCATAAGAATAGTAACAGCGTAACACTTAAGGATAAACAGGATCCATGCTTTTCCAGAAACAGATATTTTTCGTTTGAATTCCTCGTTTTGTCACAATAAATTTGAACACAATAGTCATGAATGAGTTTCAATCAACGTTCAGAAACATAATACGAAAAATCAAATCAACATTCATTCAAGTTACAATTCAGGAGGTGCCGAAATACATTATGAGTACTCTGATAAAGCAAACGTGGCGTTATTCAGAACATTACACAGTTCTCTTATTTATCATATACAATGATCACAAACACTAAAAATAGTACCGCTTTTCTTTATCGTGTCTTGTAAAGTATAATTACACAGAATCATAACTAGCAGTTCGGAGAAAATCTTACGACTCTGCATTGTGTGTACCGAAAGCTCAATTTAGGAGGAAAATCGAAAATGAGATCAAATCACTTTTTGAAGTATACCCATCAACCGGTATACTAAGGAAACATTGGGTAGAATGCACCTTCAATCCACACAAAACATTCGAACTCTAATGGTTTTAGTTTACCCTAGATCCTTGTCAACATTAACAAATTTCCGAAGTGTTCTTTGAGATGAATAATTTGCAAAATCAAAGTTTTTAAGAGCCTAAATAATGATGATGATGTTTCAGTTTTATGTCCATCAGTAGAAAACACTTGATTCTATGGTTTGAAGCAAGAGAAAATCGAAATTGAAAAATTAAGTTCTTCATAGTTAGTAAAGGTGGGAAATTACTCTGTAATGTCGAATTCTAGCTAGACACACTCTTAGTTGGACTTGGTCAGATTCTGTAAATTCTGAATTTCAGAAACTCTCAAAACTCAATGAAATCACGAACTCTTAGAACTAACAAAACCTACGGACTTCATGACAATCATTGAACTCAAATAATTTACGAGATGGACACCGCCAAAAGAACAAATATAATGGATAATATGTCAAAAGCGAAGGAGAAACATTAACGTAAATGGAGATGCTCACCAGGAGGACGAACATCTCGTCCACCATATGACCAAACAGAACTTAAAAATATAAACAAAACCATTCATTCACACACTTAGATTCACATCCATGCAAAGCTCCAACCATACAAACCCTACAAATCTACACTACTTAATACAATGAGATCCTCAGTTATCACACTCGCGTCCGTATTTCCCGTCTATCTTAACTTTTATTTCTTCGTAACGTAACTTGAAATTCCCTAGACTTTCAACAGTTTATATCTCACAAAATCCGACCAGTACTAAATATTTTTCTGTGGTCTAGCGAATGCAGGTCAACTTTGAAAAGCCAATCATGTAAGTTTCCATCAAGACAAACACTTAAATGGAGAGAAAATTGATTAAATAGATTTATATAAAAATTATTCAAAACATAGCTAGCATCACCTTGCGCAAACGAATTAACTCTAGTTTACAAAGAAATGCTGTATAACGCTTACTTATTGTGTTAACGACAGGGATCAGGTTAACAAATGCGTTTAAATACACTGCTCAAGGTTTCCCAGTGTACTTTTGATGATTTGGTCGTCTTCGATCCCGAGACATTTCAAAAATGGATTATAGATGGAAAATTTTGAAATGTTTCAACCAAATTCTTTACAAAGAAAAATGAAATAATCTACTAATGATATTTGTTCTTATTGTCGAGAGATTGGAATCAAGTAACAGTATGATTATGTATCAATTCCAATTTCGTCTGCTCTACGCAAATATCATTATTTTATTCTGCTTCCATAAAAAATAATAGATTATCATCAATACTGACACTATTTTGCTTCTGCATGGAATTTTTTTTCACTGACGTTGAGGAAAATGAAAGATAGTGACAACATTGAATGTCAGCGACGATCGTCGTAAGAAAAGAAACAAGCAAAAAATAGAATGGGTGAAGAAATAAAGAGCTATTTAGCAATTAATAATGTTCTTACAAAAGGTTGAAAGCTCTATTTGCGATTATAACAGAGTAAAACCAACAAAATAAGAAAAACGTTTTTCCTCTACTAAAATAATTCTCCTGACTGATTGGTTAAATTTGACTGGTATAATATTAGATATTCATCTAGTAAAAAAGATGATCATCTCAAATAGAGTGAGTAGTAAACATAAACACCCTCGAATATTGGATATACGTGACTTTGAAGACGAACAAGAGAAATATTGTATAAGAAAGGAGACGCAGATGGATTTTTCTGGTACGTGAAATGCATAGAACAAACGGCAACTAATAAGGCTAAAAATGGAAAAAATCCTGCAAAGTAATTAGAAAAGATTAGGGTTAGCTTGCTATAAATATACATTATTTACAGCAACTATCTCGACAGGATGCGTACGTCCGATCCATGTATGAGATCTTAGATTGATCTCTAATTAATATAAAGAACATCGAAGGCAAAGCACATGCACGGGTAAGTCATAGTGATTCCGACATCTAGTATTCAGAAAATAACTGATTATAGATAAATTGTATATCTTGATCTTGTTTTATTAAATCATGCGCTGTGAGATTCTATACAAGATTGATGATGAGAAATTTTATCAAGTTGGTTTGATGACTTTTTTCATAAAACTAACGTAAGGCATAGTATAATGATAAAATGTTCCATTATTCTGAGAGGAACAAAACTGAACATAATATTGACTGTTTTCTTGAGCATATGGTGAAACATTGTTACCTTTTTATCACAAACATTACTTAGCCATGAAAATCGGCATCAACAAAAAGATGGAACAGCATTACATACTGATGAAAGAGGTCAATGATGATGCAAAAAATACTCGAATTATTTTATACCTTAATTTGTCCGATTACTCTATAGCGGATAGTATGAATAAAATCACCAATTATCAAAAGATCTAAATATGAAAAATCTGGAAACGAAATATTTGTTTGTTATCAGAAAGCATATAATAATATCGAGAAAAGTTTTGTTTGAAATAATAAACCTATTCTTTGGAACATTCGTCTCAGAGAATAATGGGATATTTCAATATCATATTGTGCTTAATTTTAAATGTGTAAAAATTAATCAAACCAATCAAATCGAAATTCATTACCACTCTCTTGAGAAATCTTACAGCGCATGTTTTAACCACAATAGCAAGCACGATTTTGCAATTCATTCATACAGAGATATTTTTACACTATTAGATTTGACAAAAATTATAGCTTACCCTATTTACATAGAGCGTAAAAAGGAAAAACAGCAATGACACTATACAAGAGCGATGCAAGTAGAAACCTGTGAAACCTCGTTTTTTAATTCCGATTCCGAAGAATTTCACAAATTGTTTCCTGTAAATAAATGACCATATACATGTACAGCGCATAACATAATTTAAGTTCATAGTTCTCTTGATTCGAGGAAGCATCATATGACACAAAAAATGATTCTGTTAGTTTGTCCTCCTTAAGGTTTCTAATTACATCCAAAGTGAGATATAGACAAATATATTCGATAGATTAGAACAGCTGTTTGGAAATGACATTTTTGAAGATAACTAAATAACCTATCGTGTATATTTATTCTTTGAATCTCGTCGAGTTAGGTTATTGATTGTTGGCAACCAGCCAGTCATACGTATTTTTTTGGTATTTTTCTCTCATCTAATCAGTTTTTTTCAAGCTGTCATTCCAGGGCGTTAGATATTTTTTCTATTCGGATATCATTCAACCAGCCTCTTTATTTGTGAGATCTGCAGTCAAAGTGAAACAAGCAGATTTCATACTCTTTGTACTTCTTCATATTTCTCTATACTTTTTCGTATTTCATCATGCTTCATACTTCTACGTATTTCTTAGTACTTCTAAATACCTCACCATACTTATCGGCATGCATATTTGCTCCTATAGAGGTTTAGGCACTTTTTTACGCAATAATTAGGAGAAATATAGTCAGGATTAATTATAAAGATTTTCATTTGAAAAAAAATTAATAAACAAATAATGAAAGTAGAATTTATATTAGGAGATGAAGTATCAGTTCTCTTTGTACTAATATTTTTGGTGCTAATATATCCAAAGAGAAATAAACATCATATTATTTCTCTTTCTCATAATAATTAACAAAAAGCAGAACAATATATACGTAGAAAGAGAATTGTTACTTATTTGAACTATGATAAAAATTTAAAAAAACAATGCTAAACACCTACCAGAAACAAATACTGGTGTTCATAAAAGATAATAATATCTGTGCATGATAATAAAGCAGATACTATAAAGTTGACATATGAAATGAATCGAAATAACCTATCATCTATAATAAACAGAAAAATTTTAAAAAAATGTTTTTATGACATATATTTTCATCTTTTTGTAACAGATAACGACATATTTGTTGTTGTTGCTGAACGTTTTGAATTAAAATTTGTTGTTGGTTGCGATGATGATGTGTTTGATGAAGTTTTTAGTGTTAATGTTATTGAAGTAGTAATAGTTTGTGGTGTTGATGCTTGTTCTGGTGATAATGGAACTATTTTTTCGTTTTTAATTTTGTTCTTCCATATTTAAACACATAGAATCCTTTTAATGTTTATGAAAATTAGATCATTGTAATTTTCCATCTTTTTTAGGTAATTTTATTAATACTCCGCAATTACATAATATCGTTGCTACTATGTCATCACTAAGATTTACTATATTTAGGGTGTGAGTGTGGGTGTGAATGGGTGTGGGAGTAGATTTGGATCTCTCGACAAATAGAACATTCACATCCACGCTATGAGCACTAGGTCACTGTGCTGCCATTAACAATGACTATCTCTTTTTGAATTGCGAAAAATAAAAGTGTGATGTAGTGGTATATTCCTTTCGTTCTATGAAATTATCCATATATCACTGTACGTATATAGATGTGTTCGTTTCTGTTTTCTCAGAAGTAGTTCTTCTTCATTTGTTCTTTCTATTCTTGATCATAGACACATTTTCTTTCTTACTTCTCTCATATTAATAAACTATATAAGCACCAGTTCTTCCAACTTCTTAACTGAACCGTTAAGACGTGACAAAAAGCACAAGACAATGCTCCCAAATTTCCATAACAAACAGAGTTTGTACCGCTCTTTTAATCGAAACATGCTAAAAGCACAGATGTAAGAACAAGCAAACCTTTATATGTGATTTAATTACATAGATCTAGACTAAGCTTTGATGTCTAGTAAATTTTTGTTCAATGCTAATTAACGAATTGCTAAAAAAGCCATTATCAAGTAATTAATGAGAAAGCATATACAGTGTGTCCAAAAATTATTGACCCATTCCTAAATCATCATTTTGTTTTCTGTGTTATATGCGAACCCCATGAATACAAGTGCTGGATCATAGGCCGTAATGCAGCTAGTTGTCAGTAGTCTATGCGGTATTGTTTTTACGTTTTCTTTTCCTTTCTTTCCCATTTTATTTGAGACATTCTAAAAATGCCTCGATTTGTCGCTTACAAAAGTTACTGGCCCAGCATGCTTAAAGAGCTCTTTCTTCACCTCATGATTGATGCTAACAAATACTTTTGCTTTCAAATTCTGCTCCAATGACTTATTGCGTCTCCCACGGCAATCAGGTACAGATTAGGAAACAAACATATATTGAATTATTTAAAACTGTATCTTTATAAACAAATTCTGTTTGAGAAAATAGCTAACCTGACAAATATCGAACACAAATCAAGTGATTAATTATCGAAAGGAACGTTTTGAAACGAATGAATGTGAAAAGAGTTTAAGTTTTATCGTTTCTTAAAATCATTCAATCTTATCCATACCACAATAGTGACACCTGTGTCGAAATGAAATCATTCTTTTGATTTTAAATCTTCATAAACATGTTAAACAATTGTATAAAAATTATATTTGACTCTCCTTTTAATAAAGGTTGAAATATTTCTTGAATTAATTTATAATTCATAATCAATTATCGAAATCGGTGATTAAACATGATTTTATCGCTCCGATTTATGACCAATTTTCGAAATCTGTTCTTTGTCTATAATCGCCATAGATCTGATAAAGTCACCGATCCTTTTAGCGGAATACGATTAATCATGATTGTACGCCGATTTTTTTCAAAATCGGTAAAATCGCGGCGATTTTCGCGACATGATAAGATTCACCCCAATAAAATCATTATTTACTTGTTCTGTGCCATCGACTTTGATATCAGAATCAATTGAACTACTATCTGAATCAGATTCTAAATCAATATCAGTATCATCGATATTTAATTGTAATAGATGAGAATTGATGATTGGATCGTCATTCATCTGTCTTGTCAATACGTAGATTGAACCCCTCTGACGAGATCATATGGGATTCCATATAATCCGATAATTTTCCGGAGCGTGGGTGTGTTTGTGTGGATGTATATTCTCAGAACATCCACATCCACCCACACGCACACGCATACCTACATCCACACACCTACACCCCAAATCTTTGTCAGACCACGCATTTTCGCCCCATATATAATTTGGCCTGATTGCCGGTAAAAGTGTCTAAGAGGTCAAATCAGTTTCTTATGCACCCCTGTTCTTTACCCTTCCTACCAAGAAAAATACAGATTTTGGAATTAACGTAATATGGGAGTCCGCTCCATATTATCCCCGATTTTTCCAATTATTTCGAAATCCCTGTGCTTCCATAGTATCTGAAGTGACATCATGGAGTGGCACTTTTAGGATTTTCTGGATTTTTCTGGATTTTTCAATTTTTCGAATTTTTTCGACAAAACCCTATGTCGACGGTTTTTAACAGGTTTATAGGAATTTCACCAGATTTAGATCAATTTTTTCTGAATTTTATTGCAGTCCCTAGAGTTTCACAGGATTTTTCCGTAAGCTTTATACATAGAATTCCAAAAACAGCCGCAAGGTTGCCGTTACGTCTTAGTAGAAAGCGTAAATTTGCGTACCAAAGTGAACAGTGATATTTTTTAGCAGTGGTGGTAAATTTTTTCTTTATGAATAAAAACTTCGAACTCTCCTCTACCACTAATAATATATTAGCTAATTTGATGAAGGTCCGGTGGAGATATTCAAATTTATTCTTGGCAGGTGGCTTTCCGCCCACCCTATATTTTCCATTCATTGCAGAATCCTTTAAGTTCTTCGAAACTCAACTTTTTTCGATTCTCTACCGATTCGAGTTCCTTCCGCCAATCATGCGGCTTGGCTTCTCAAGAAACGTTTCAAATGCAGATGTATGGAAAACTTTATCAATCACCTTCTATCTATTCACACATTTTGCCTCTGTTTATAATGATGAAATTTTTAGTGTAAAAACTTGATAGAATTCCATGGATTCAATCAAATCAAAGCCGCTATGAAATTCAGTTCCGATAAAGAATGGCGTGTGTGAGAGTCTTCCGCTCATCCTCAAACACGCATCCTAAATTCACGCAGTGTTTCGTAGATGAGCATGCTTTGTTTGATCAGCTGCTGCACATCGTCTGGCAGAACGAGGTCATCAGTATTGTCTGCCGTTTTCTGAACCTGATTGAAGCCTGTACTATGCTGGACTTCTTCGTGCCAGCCTACCCATTTAGCGAACACCTCAACCCGTTCCGCTCTCCACTCGAGCATGCTCGGCTCAAATCGATCATGAATAGCTGATTCACAATACATTCGCATGATCGCTCTGGGTTCTGTGAGAAGTTCGCCTGCTTCGACCAAAGGTGGACGAGCGCCGGTAAGCTCGGTGAGAAATTCGAATAAGGCATGCAGCTCTTGGTATCCTATATCGTCGTGAATGAATTTCGGATTTCTTCCAACATACACACGGTACAAAGATGGTACAGCCTTTTCTGGGGTGCGAATGATAAACGTATGTTTGCACCGCTTGAGGAAGTCAATCGGAACGGGTTCATTCATGAATGACGTCATACCGAAAGAAGCACAACCAAAAAAGTAGGAATAGTTGCCCGAAAAGTGACGTCACATTGGCATGCGATAGAATCGGTAGTCGACGAAACAGGAAACTGGAAAGGGTGAAGGTGCACCAGCCAAAGCAAGAAAAATTCCGTTTGCTGTCAAAAAGTGTTTCCATACTTCCCTAGTCGATCGATTCCAGATGGCCGGTCAAAACAGCGATAGAACAAACATTTTTGCATATTTTCTGCTCCTCAGTGGATTTGTATTTGTTTGCCGACAAAGAGCATGCACTTTCAGAAGCTTTATTACAATATGTGTGTTCATTTATCGCAGTGCAAGTAGGAAAAAAGTGAAGATTTACATAGTTTGTGCTTTACAGTGCACACGTTAGCGGAAGACT